AAAAGAGGCTCAAGATCTCTTAATCCGTATTCAGTAGCATCATTTGCCCCGCACGATTGCTCCGCAACAGCGGACGCTAAAACAGTGGAGCCCCAAACCCACATCCAGAAGAGCCGAGAAGCCGTGCGAGAAACCAGTGCAAAAGCATGACTGTGAACAAGAAGGTGAACCACATCAGCACATAAGCTGCGGCATGGTGTATGGCATAGTAGGCTCGTGTACATCCTTAGTCTAGGGTTTTTTGGGGCAAGATCCATCCTTTGCCCTCGGGGCGGACCTGGCCACTTGCCGGCAATCTCTGGGGTGATGTAACCTTGAGACAGGAACCATGGACTTCCGGGTCTTGGGGGAATTCAGGGTTTAGGTTTTTCGGGTTCATGGGGTTCAGGGTTCAGGGTCTTCGCATTTTGAAGCTTTGAGCCTTAGTCTTTAAGGCTTTGCGCGCGCCGAGACAAGTTGGTGATATAGTTCCCATGTTTGGTTCTTGTCTTTTGTGTCTGCAGCAGCTTGCTTAGGGTTTAGTGTTTAGGGTTTAGGGTTTAGAGTTTAGGGTCCTCTATTACATCCCCCAACCCCATAATTCGGGCAGGCACGTTCGACACCTGGAGGTTTGGGATTCAGGGTTTGTCGGTGCAGGGCTTACTGTAGGGCTTCCGGTTTAAAGGCTTGGGGTCTGAAGGCTTGGTTTTAGCGTTTTGGGTTTAGGTGCTCGTCGAGCTTCTTTCTACGCTGAGTGGAGTAAGCTACCTGAGCCCGCCCAAGATCAGCAAAACTCAACCGAAGCACATATTGCACGCCCTAAGCACTCAAGCCTTCTACTTCTACCCAGAAGCGGCCCCGGCACCTCGCACTCCGTGGACCCTCAACGGGCAATGTACCCAGAGAGCCCATTACCCCTTAATTAAGGAATATAGCTTAAATCATAATATGAAGCCCCTTTATAATTTAGGGTCTATTCCTTGATTAAGGGGTATTATGCTCTCTGGGTACCCTAGCTCCCCCAAACTTGTGTCAGGGCTTTGTGCTCGGGAAATCGGGCGCTGAGCCCTTTTGGGATTAGGAGCCCCGGCTTCAGGCAGCACCGATGAGAATGGTGCAGACGAGGAAAATGGTGTCCGAAAGTACTCCTACGGAAAACTATAGGGTTCAGGTTTTAGGGCCCTAAACCCTGAACCCTAAACCCTAGGGAGCAAGACAGAACCGCCCAAAGTATAGACCCGCAAGCAGACACATCACGAAGCCCTGAGGAGTTCATTGGCCCGACATACTCTAAGTTACCCTACACCCTAAACCCTAAACCCTAAGAATCCTAAGCAGTTCTTCCGTGGACCCGAAACCCGAAGGATGCCATAAACCCTGAGTAGTCCATGACCCCCAAAACAGCCTGCACCCGGAAACATCTATTATATCATACTAGACTATAGCATATCATACTATATGGTACTGTATTAGTTTATAATATATTTATATTTTACTAAGCCCTAAGCTCCAACCCTTGAGCCCTGACACCTGACTGAAGTCTAAACCCTAAACCTCAAACCCGAACCCCTGAACTCCTACGGCCGAGCATCCCATGGTTGCTAGCATGGCGATGCGTCCATGCTTCCTGGATTGAAGCCGACGTTCAAAAGGATTGTTCAAAGAGCCCTGGAGTCTTCTAAACCCTCAACCCTGAACCCCCTGGGCAACAGGGGATTGATTCGGGGCTTATCTCGAGATACCGGGTCCGACATTGGTAAACTAGGGTTCAGTCTGTGGGGCTTTAGGACTTTCGGGGGTCCCTCTTCACAGGATCCCTACTTGTTGCAAGGCCCCCTGCTTTCCGAACACTGTTCATCCAAACAAAATCACCACCGTCATACCTATATCATTTTGGGGATTCCTTATTCTATTTATAGTATTATATATCCCGTGACCTTATTCTAATGATTGAGGCGATACGAAGGAGAGGGGTCATCCACAGCCAGCATCTTCCATGCAGATGATCTCAGATGAAACCGCTGACCTCCTCGCGGCCCCTCAGACCCTGAGGCCTAAAACGTGAAAGTCCTGTACGGTTTAGGGTTTAGGGTTTAGGGTTTAGGGTTTAGTGTTTAGGGTTTAGGGTAAACACAATGAAACCCTCACACTCTAAAACCCTGCAGCATAAAGCTCGAAACTCGAAACCCAAAAGCGCTCACACCGTCAACTAGAATTATCAGGGTCCCCTACCAGGCCCCTGCACCCTAAACAAATTTAAAACCCAGGGCCCGACGTCCCTAAACTGTACCTTCCCCAAGCCTGAAATCACTAGAAGCCCTGACCCTTTTGCTCCTAAGAGAAGGGCTTTTATAAGGGTTCTTCCAAGGGCGCTATAGGGTTCCTTTGAGGGTTCCTGAAGGGAAGGGCTTTTATAATTTAGGGGCTCTTTAAAGGGTGCTATAGGGTTCCTTTGGGGGTTCCTTGAGGGAAGGGCTTTTATAATCTAAGGGCTCTTTAAAAGGGCGCTTTAGGGTTCCTTTGAGGGTTCCTTAAAAGGGCTCCATTAAAGGCCATGGTGCAGCTCTACGGAGCGCCTCCGCTGGAAGGCCTGGGAAAAGATGATCTGGGCCCTACCCATAGGCCCTAAAGTAGTTCCTTTTTGGGGTTCATACATAGAATCCCTAAACCCTAAACCCTAAACCCTAATCCCTAAACCCTAAACCCTAATCCTACAAGATAATCCTGTAAGATAACCCCCAAACGGAACTACTATGGGGCCTATGGGTGGAGCCCGAGCCAAAACTTGGATCTCTCCACAAAGGTGGGCCTTCCAAAAGTTGCAGCTTAGGGTTTAGGGTTTAGGGTCTAGGGGTTTAGGATTAGGGTTTAGGGTTTCGGGTTCAGGCCTTTAGGGGTTTAGGGGTCTAGGGGTTTAGGATTTAGGGTTTAGGGTTTCGGGTTCAGGCCTTTAGGGTTTAGGGGTTGAGGGGTGAAGTGCTATATGCCTGGTAGAGAAAAACTGCTTGATGAGATCCTTGTAAAGGGGGCCTGTACCGTGTACGGGATTCTGGGATTTGATGAGGCTTGCGTAAGGGCTGGTAGGACTTTCTGAAGCCAAAGTGAAATTCTACAGTCTGTTCGGCGCTTGGGTTTCGTCGGGTTTTCTCAGGCTCGTGTAATGTTGTACGTAGGGTTTTGCACATGGGATGTCCCAGCAACCGCCGGGTACCGTTCGCAGAGAGCTCTATCTGGCCCCAATGGCTGGATTTGGGGTGTAGGGTACTGGTGATTTATGGGTCGAGGTTGCCACCACCCCAAACCCCAAACTCCCAAACCCCAAAGCCAAAACCTAAACCCCCAAAGCCGGGGGAACTCCAAAAGCAGTCAACAGCCGTACCATGCGTAGCGACGTGGGAAGCTGAAAACCCAGGAGCCTCCACAGCTACGTGTAAAATCTACCTGGACCATGAACCTATTTAGGGATCCTTATTATGATTTCTTTATATTAATTATTAATCCTTCCAAAGGTTGGTTATTCGGGGTTGAGGTAGGGGCTATAATTTTCATGCCTTCATACCAAAGCAATAGTCTCGTAGTGCCTGCGAGTTGGACGCAAGAAGAGAAATGTAGGGGCCTGAATAATTAGAATAGGGTTTTGGGGCCCATTATACTATAATTGTACTATGGAGCCTCCAAAATAGTATAGGTAATTATTAAGGCTCCTTTCTTAAGCCCTTATTGTCTCTCGGTCCTAAAAACTCGCTTCGCATCTTCATTTTTCAGGGTGTAGGGCTGAAGCCCAAGGGTTCATGGTCACGGCTTAGGGTTTAGGGTGGTCAGGTGCCGAACGAGAACCAGAAATCCTTAGCAACATCGCACACATGGACACCTCTGACTGAGCAGCCGTAATTGCGCTTGCTCGGGTGGTCTTGTTGGCTCTGTTCCTAGATTCTGTCCTAGATGATACCTAAGATTGTGAGTATGTGCTTTGCTGTTTGTCTACGACAGACACCCTATGCTCATCGCCAATGCTTGCGAAGTACAGTACACCGCTCTAAGATCCAGAACCCTCAACCGAGAGCTTGAAACGCTGAGCCTTAGCTTTTAAATTATATCAACGTTAAAGCCCTGTGTAAACACTTAAGTCAAAGCCCGAGAACCAAGAATCCACAACCTTAAAGCCCTAAATTCAAACAAGCCCAAAACCGGAAATGACCTTCCTTGTTGGGATTCCCTGAAATGATTTTCACTTTATTAAACACCCTAAGCCATAAATCCCAAGTCCGAAACTAGAAAGCCCGCACCCTACACCCCAAACCCCAAACGACCCTACATCGCAAGTCCTAGACTAGAAACCCTACACCCTAAACCCAAAATGACCCTACCCCCCAAACCCTGAACGACCCTACACCTCAAATCCCAAGCGAGGCTTCGGCCTCCACGTCGCCATCCCTGGCGAGCCCTAGAGGGTCCCAAAAGCCGACCTCGCTGGCTCCATCTAGGGGCCCAAACGGTTTTCTGGGTTTAGGAGGGTGTCAGGATTAGGGTTTAGGGCCTAGAATTATAATAGAGTTTAGGGCTTGCAATTATAACAGGGTTTAGGGCTTACAATTATAATAGGATTTAGGGTTTACAATTATAATAGGGTTTGGGGCTTATAAGTACAAAAGGGTTTAGGGTCCTAGGGTTAAAGAAAGGGGTTTAGGGTTTAGGGCTATAGGTCGGGAGGGTTTACAGGGCCTTTATGGTTGCTTTAGAGGGTTTAGGGTATACAGGAGCTAGAAGAATATGGGGCTCCTTTAAAGGGCTCCTTTAAGGGACGCCGTAAGGGTTCTACCATGCCTTCATCATCAGAACGCGCGTTTTTTGGGGGTTGTTGTTATATAATCGCAAGATGCAGCCCTTAGGAGAGCGGTATTGGTAACTCGTCAAGCCCCCACATCTGCTTTTTTGGGGAGGGGATCGGCTGCCTGAGATGTCCTCTAACCCTAAAGCTCCAAACCCTGAGACCCCACAAAAATCTCGACTCGAAGCTCGAGGGGTTTTGGGCCTTGGGCTTCCTCTTTACGTGTATTGGACCCTCCCTCCAGATCCCTCTGCAAGCAAGCCGCTGTTTCTGTTTGTATTCGGACATGCGCAACAGCGCTTTACCCTAAACACCCTAAACCCTAAACCCTTAAACCCCCTAAACCCTTAAACCCTAAACCCTTAAACCCTAGACCCTAAACCCCTAAACCCTAAACCCTTGAACCCCAAACCCTAACAAGTGGCTCTCTTCCCCGGAGCGTTATTGCGGGGGAGGTTCAGGGTCCTTTTCGGGGAGTGAGGCCAATGGGTTCAGGAATCTCGATGTTCCAAGATCTCCGAGACCCTGCGCAGCTTCAGGGTTTTAGGTTTTAGGATTTAGGGTTTTAGGGTTTAGGGTTCAAGTTTTAGGGTTTAGGGTTTGGGGTTTTAGGGTTTGGGGTTTAGGGTTTAGGGTAGTGTAAGGAACAACCCTAAACCCTAAACCCTCGTGTTTAGGGTTTAGGGATTATAGGGTTTAGGGGCATGCTGTCGGGCACGCACGTGAAGCTATCGTCTCTTTCACCGGCTGGGCCTTACTAGACGCAAGCTCGGCTTCGTATCTCAGTTCCCCAAGTCCCCCTAGACCCTAACCCCCTAACCCGCTAGACCCTAACCTAGACCCTGAACCCCCTAACCCCCTGTACCCTAAACCCCCAAACCCCCTAGACCCTCAACCTCCTCACCCCCTAGACCCTAAACAGCATTGACCCTAAACCCCCAAACCCCCTAGACCCTCAACCTCCTCACCCCCTAGACCCTAAACCCCCTGGACCCTAAACCCCCAAACCCCCTAGACCCTCAACCTCCTCACCCCCTAGACCCTAAACCTCCTAGACCCTAAACCCTAAACCCCCAAATCCAAAACCCTTGAACCCTAACTGCCTGAGGCCTAGATGCCACGCTACAAATCCTGCATCAACCCCCGCAAACCCCCGCTTTCCCCGAATCCTCCCCAAGCCTTCAACAAAAAGTGTTTTGGGGTAGGTTATAGGAAATACCGATTAGAAGGAGTCCTGCGGAGTAGTCTTACTGGCTCGTCAAGTTTCTACATTAACTCCGGAAAAAGAAAGTCTCCAATCCGAGTCTCTAAACCCTCAGCAAGCAGAACAGAAGTAGCTTAGCAACTAGAAGAGAATTTGCGGGGTACGTTATAACATGCTCCTATGGCGGGCTATGCTTTTCTTGAATGTCCGACTTGTCAATCCCTGTTGCGCCGAACAGCCCAAAGCAGGTAACACCTATTTCCATGGAGCCCTAGTGATGCACAAAAACCCCAAGCCCCCAACAAGAAAACCTATAAGGGTTCAGGGTTTTTTTAAGTTGGGATGACGGTCTCTGGGTTTAGGGTTTAGGGTCAACTCCAATCGCAACATGACAAAACGGAACACAAACACAATCAGAAAGGAAGTAAATACAACGCTCGTAGGACAACCCTGGGCCCTAAATCCTGAGCAGCGCCCTCAATAGCGCTAGAGTAGCCCCTTGTAAGCCTTAGAAGGAATTCAAAACCTTAAACCCTAATCCCAAAGCCCTAAACCCTGAACCCTAGACACTAAGCCCTAAACCCCCAAGCTCTAAACCAAGACGAAAGCGGCGCCGCTTCGGAGCCAAGCAGCTGGAGCCTGCACTCCGAGCTCGGACTCGAAGGCTCTAAGCCTCAGAGCGGCTTCGGGTTTAGGGTTTAGGGTTTAGGGTTTAGCGTTTAGGGTCAGAGGCCCGGAAAACAACAAGCACAGAGGGTTGAAGCAAACAATAAACTTCGTTTTTTGTTTGAAGTTAAAAAGGGTCTTGCTTAAAGGGGTTGCTGTAAAATGGATATGTATGGAGGCTTGCTTGATTCACTACAACAGGGCCTTACATGCCCATACGGCGCTGCAGGGTGTCTTAGGGCCTTATGGGGTGTAGAGTTGCAGGGATTTGGGGGGCGTGCGGGTTTAGGGCTCGAAGTTACCAGTGCCCGACCAAGAACTCAAGGGGGGCTTCAGGAGGAAAAGGCCCGTTTTGGGGTCTTTCCAAGAGCTCAACAGACGTTCATGAAATCTTGTAAAATGTTGTTGAGTCCATGAGCAGGACAGTGAACGTTCAGCTGGGTAGTGTTGCAAGATCAGCAGCGTCGGATGGGCTACACAGGGCATCACCCCATACTCTCAGAAGGAGTCACTTTGTGTCGGTCCTCAGATAGCCATAGCGACGTAGGCATAGTGGTACTCAGCAACGAGTCGCAGCAATCGCACCAGCCAGACTCTACGTTCGTCATAGAGCCACAATGCTAATGTAGGGGCCTTAATAATTAAAGTAGGGTTTTGGGGGTTCTCTATTATACTTATAATATAATATACCCCCAAACCCTATTCTAATTATTACGCGCAACGCCGACCCAGCGCCCAGACTTCATTGGATAGAGAGTGTTTGTGGCAGCAAGGGAAATACAAATTACGTGGCAGGCGCGAGGGATTCACCACTTCGAAGTAT